CTATCCCTGCAAAATAGCTTTGCTAGCAATTGTCCAAGCAATCGGACAGTAGCCTTAGAAAGGCCACAATAAGAGGTCTTCAGTCGAGTGGTGTCATATGGTCTTCATTTAGAAGTATCACAAGAACATTACTTCTCACAGTATTTACAAATGAAAAACATATGGCTGTAACCTGTAATACTGCAAAAAAATACTGCTCTTTGGGTTTGTTTTTGGCCTCAGACTTTTGAAATATGAACCAAGCGAAGGGATTTCAGCTTAATGCGTGATTCAGTCCATTATTCTTCAGAGCTCAAAGTCTGGGGGACAGCTAAAGCTAGCATCTGAAAAAAGTGATTTGCCCACAACTATGGTAATGTACTATAGTTGGCAACTAGAGTACCATGTATATCAAAAAGGTATGGGGGTGGTTAATTAATGACATCTACTTTCCATTTAATTAAAAAAAAAAAAATATTAAACTGGCTTTCGTTCCTATAAAGAGTTTTATAAGTCATATATAAGCCCCTTGCATTTACTATTTAGGTTCAATCAATATGGTTATCTACCTGTCAATTTTTCTTGCTCTTTAATGCAGAAAGGGAGCAGCCTTTTTTATAGCTAGCTCAGAAAGTACTAAGCTAATCAATACATGCAGTGATAACAGAATGATTTGAAACACGTAACAGAAGCTTATCACTTTGCCGTATACTGAACCCATCAAAATATTTTCCTAGAACTAAAGTGAAAGAAAATAGAAGTTCTCCATTTTTTATTACTTAAGTGGGTGGTGACACAGATGTTGTAGGACTTTTGGATTTGTTCCTAGCTTTGTATTTTGGGGAAAATCTGGTACACCAGCATTTGCTACTTTGTAGGAATGCGAGGCCAACTTTGCAGTAAGATTTAAGAACTATGCCTTGAGAATCAAACATTATCTCAATTGCCCTTGATTTCCCGTCCCTAAACATTTATCGGAAATCCATGCATTGTTCTGGAGAACTGCACATAAGATTTTCCAGGAACTCATCTTCTGATGTTCCCACAGACCTTAAAACCCTTTGCTTTACTCAGTACTCTCAGTAATTTGTGTATGAGCCCAATCTGAAAACTACAGGCTTTCTTTCAGCTATCTCCTGCCGAGTTAGTCGATTTGAAATAATTTGTAAGCATCTGATTCCTAGAGGTTTAAATATACATACAGGTATCAAGATTCTGGATTTTAATGCAGCAGAGAGAGGATCAACTGTTATTGTGGTGTCTAACCTCTACTTTTTTGAAGAAATGCATAGGATTTAGCTGTGCAGTTCTCTGAGTGGTAAGTAACAATCATCTGCCATCATACAGTTTAAGTAGGTGGAATTCTACATAATACAAAAGCTCTTTGCAATGTCTCAGGCTTGCCACAATTTACCAAATGTTAAATGGAGGCTCAAAATTAATATATATATATGTATGTAAGTATGTATGTAAATATAGACTAAAGAGATGAGAGTTAGTAAGAAAGGAAATAATGTTTCCAGCTTGAGGCTTTCTAGCAATTTTTCTATCAGTTTTAGCTCCAGGGCCATTGTTATCAATTCTATGTCATGATATCTGGTGCATTTCTGCATGTCCCCCTGAATTCACATGATGGCCTTATGGTCTCGCAGTTGTGAAAGGTCTGCTTCACAATTTCTGAATCTCAGAGGCTGGCAAGCCCGGGTACTAGTGGTTATACTGGCTTTTGCTCAAGGCACCAAACCATAACATTTTTTACCTTCACCCTTAGAAAACAATACTGATAAGTAAAACTAAGGAGAAAGGTAAAAGAAATCAGAAGGATCACAAAATCATAAGGAAATCCTTACAGGGCATAACTAAAAGTCTACAGAGGCTCTGCTGTTTTTATTTCTTTACCTGCAACAGCCATGCATGGTGCAGACAGGTCTGAACTACCTCTGCGTGGGTGGAAATCACACAACAGCATCCACTCAGAGGCAAGGATTGGTCCACAGGTGCATAAGTGCTGCCAACACTACATCCTGACCCAGTCTGGTAAGCCTGTGTGAACTTACCATGAATCTCCACAAACTCAGAAATCACTAAACCACAACCCATTGCACAGTGGAGACATGCCAGCAGCAAAGCATTAACAAAGTTGTCCACTCCAAAGGAGCTGAAAGATGAATTGGCATCTCTGAGGGCAGAATTGGGCCCAGCGAACGAGCAAAGATTCTCAGAGCAACACCTCAAGTGACACAAATTATGTTATAAAATTGATCACTTCCTTACACATGGCAGAATGCTTCCAGGGCACTCAACATCCTATTCCATTAAGCTATGATAAATGAGACCATATTTCCACATCAGTCTGAACTCATCTTTTAAATCTGCTTGTTCAAATATTTGGTTACTTATTCCCCTCCCCCTCCTTACGACAGCAATACTTGTCTTTTTCTTTTCCAACTTTGCACATCTTAACAGCTGTCATTATTGCAGGACCATCACCTAAGAATTTTATTTCTTCACAGAATTCCTCATCTTAAGAGCACACAAAAATTTGAGAGAAATCACTGAAGAACATTTGGTGTGCAATCTCTATGTGTACACTCAGCAACTTGAAAAAATGGACTCAAAGATACCGGAGAGCCACAGAACAAGTTGTAGAGAAATGTCCCAAAAAAGTAACTCTGCTACTGCTAGTTTGAAGATCACCACCACCACCTGGAGCAGTGTTAGGATGGAAACCCATGGAGCAGGAGCAAAACTGTTCCAAGCAGATCACTACGCCTCGAGGTGGCTAGGGAAGGTTCATAAATTGATAAGCACCACCGAAGGATCATAAGCCTCCACATCAATTGTACAAAGATTACAACAGAGCCACTCGCTGCAGTCATTCTGAAAAGGTTATGGGTTTCACAGGTGTGCACTGTCAGTTCTGATTAAGCTTAAACTAAACCAGTTATCTATAATGTTGGATTGGAAGGAGTTTTATTGCTGAACGCAGGGTAAATCAAATTCAGGATACACATCTGTGGAAAAACACAGAGGGCCAAAGTTCACAGTCCTGACACAGGCAAAAAAAATCCAACCCTCCAAACTCAGGAGGAAAGTTGCCTGTAAAAGATCCATAAGTCTGGCTGTTGTCATATGTTCTGTATCGGAAAGGAAAAGTTATTCGTCACCTAACACAGCTTTGGGGTTTTTTTCCCTCTTCAAATTATTGTTTGCTCTTATAACATAGACTGTTTTAAGATTATTATCTGCATTCATTTCTAAAGTGCCTATAGTTTACCATTTATCTGATCATAAATGAAATTAATTATAGACCTATACTTCTCACTATATAGGATATAAACTAAAGCAGCTACAGCAACAAATTCACAATGTAATTTTTCATCTGTGTGACTAGGAATCTTTCCAAAAGCAACAGTTCACACCAGAGGTTTTTGGAGCTACACAAAAAGACTGTGGGTGAAACCCTGTGCCCAAAAAACATTGCTAACAACTCAACTGATTTCAACAGTGCCAGGATTTCACTCAAAAATTAAAGGAAAAAAAATGCATTCTTAATAGTTGATACAAGTTGCAAAAGGCACATTCTATCTCCAAAAAAACTTTGTATTAATGCTGCACTTTGAAGTGCCTCTATTGACTCATAGTGTTAATAGATGGCAAAAGTGAAAAAATGTATTTGCTTTTGCAACATCATTATTTCCTTTGCATGCAATCATTTACTTGCCAAACAATGCTAGCGACAAATCGCAACAGACTATGAAGCCATCTACATCAGCAGATTTTTAACCTAAGGTAAAAATAAACAGAAACATCTGTAAAGTAATCTTGTACAAAGCTACGTTTATTAACAAATACATTTTCTAATAAAACACCATCTGCAAGCAACCCTCAGCTTCCACTTGATATAAATAGGCCTTTTACTGTTTTCAGATGCAGTTCCCAGAAAATTATTCCAAGCTCTACTGCAAAACACATCAGTCTTTGTTGCTGCCTGGAATGTTAATAAATAACATCAAGATTTTAAATAGTCAAACAAATTATTGGCTTGAAACAATTATTCCAATAGAAAAAGCTGACCTTTTGCAATAAAGTGTTTTAAGAATGCATTGCTCCTCATTCCTAGTATGAAAATATTACCAAGCAGGGAAATATTCGGGGGAAAACAGAAAGCTATCAAAAACCCATACTGCAATTGTGCTCATATGTACACTACAAACCTACCTTGCAAAGGTTACTGCTTTAGAGAAACTCTGAATAAAAGTATACAGAGTATAAATAGTTCAATTGGTATCCTTATTATACATCTGTGCTTGGAATGAACACGAATATGAACCAAGTAAAATGTTCCTCACAGGACTACTGTACTGACCAGCAATACAAAATTCAACAGCTTAAACTGTTGGTAGCAGAGATTGGGACTGAATCCCAATATTAAGAGCTCTTCAAAATGCATAAAAGCTTTAATGGGACACATTTTCATAAGCATTACTCAGAACTTAAGCCACATTAATTCCATTAAAAGCAATAGGAATTTAGCAAACTCTGCAAATAAATTCCTTACTGGTAGAACTATTTAGTACCACTGAAATTTGAACACTGCCATTTTTCCTTAGAGTTTAAAACAGCAATCTTTCTATCAAACTGGCTCCTAACTGAAAATGCAAGAGTAAAAACTGCATTAAAGAGTAAAAAAAAGAAAAAAAAATGAACTGAGATATTAGAGTTCTCTGTCCAGAATTCTAGCTGGTATAAATATATTACACCCAACAGAGATCTGGCCTTTCAATATTAATCAGAAAAAAGTAATGTTAATATTCCAAACTGTGCTTTTAAAACTTCATTAAATATTGCTACTGGGACTACCACAACAAACTTTGCCAAAAGTAGTCATGCACATTCTAGAAAAAAGGAATGTTTTAGACTGCAATTCCAAGAAATGGAACTGCATATTTCCAGAGAAAAACATTCAGTGCATGAAATACTCAAGCGGCACTAGAGAGAAGATATTTTAAACTACTTACTTCACTGACAGGAGGAATGTTGAGCTTTGGTACTTTGTTCTTCGAACTAGGTGTGTTCACCTTTCCTTCCAGCAGTGTTCCAAAGGACTGATTTCCATATCCACTCTCAATTTCTATCGGAGGTTTCAGTTCAGGTGAGTCATTGGGTACCTGGTCCTGACCGTCCATAGGCCTGACGTATGCTGTAGGCTTTTGCTGGACCATGCTGTTTTTACAGTGAAGTCCTGGTGGGAAATTCTGGGTCGAAAGACCATTGTTCGCAGATAACAAAGAAGTGGAAGGGAGTGGAGATCCAGGACCATGACCTACAAACTCAAGCTCCGTGGGTGACTTCGAATGACTGTTTTCTTTGTAAGTATGTTCTCCAGGTGCTGACTTTGAATGAGTATGCCTCCTCGAATGTGAAGATGCTGCCATAGAATTCGCTTCCTCAGTTCCTCCGCTTTTATGCTGCTCACTCTGACAATTATAGAGGTCTTCATACCTGCCCTGTGGCTGCTCATGAGAAGAGCTATGCTTTGTCCGACTCTGCTGACTACTGGATTGGCTTGGCTGGGCCCCACTAGAGTTGTGACCACCACGTGACCAGTCTGTCCTCGACTTCCTGCTGCTCTGGTGACTGTGTAGCAAAGTAGAATTAGATGACAATGAAGAAGGCGGAGGCATTGATGTCGACGAGTGGCCACTGATCTGATGAGATGGGATCATCCTGTTTCTTGGTTCTGGGAAAAAATTCTGTTCATTTTTGTCAATGGGTGTCTGTGGGACAGAATTCTTTGGGATTCCTACAAGGTGGCTCTGGTTGGAATGGTTGGTTAACAGGTCCTTCATCTCATCGTAATTTCCCAATGTGTTCTGGACACGGTTTGCAAGGGCATCACCTTTATTTGTCTAAAATATTAAAAAAAAAAAAAAAAAAAAAAAAAAAAAGGGGGTAATTTCCTGATTATGAAGTTACTGCTCTGAGTAGTTGTCTTAGAAGATGGCAAATGTGAGCTGTTTAATGGTGTCATGCTGACACTTAATTTAATTTCAATTACATTTTGCATATGTTATGTAAGAAAAACCTATCAATAACTGTGTTCAAAGAATCTCTTGAAATAGGCTTGCATGAGTAACACTTGTATACTGCTTCCTGTTTTCTTAAATATGCTCTCAGAGAAGTGTTTAAATTGCATCAGTTATGGATGTTAGGAGCAAAATAAGCTAGTTTGCTTATTTTTTTATGTCAGAGATGTTGGGCTTGTACACTTCATATTGTGCAAAACATGAACGTGCAATTACTGGCTACTGAGCATTGGAATTGCAATCACACAGTTTATTTAAGTGTATTATTGTTCCATCAGCCCCTTGACCCATAGTCCAGTCAGAAATAGAAACTGGGTAGTCTGTAATAAACATTACAGCGCCAAACTCTTCACTCCAGTGTAACTCCAATTACTTTTCTATAGAGGGTTTAGTTTGACCTGAGGTATCTACCATCTGAATCCAGAAAAGAAAAAGCTTCTACCCACTCAAATGCTACAGTAGCTTCAAATAAAAGATCACTCAAAAATATTTTCTTATAGAACATAAATAGACATGATTGCCATATTCTTAAGTATCGGGATTCTTCTATTGTCTGCAGGCTGGTTGTATTTGTGAATCATGCTTTTCTTTGAATTCCAGTAATTAATAAATAAATAGTGACTCATCTGTGTTTCACTGCTATTATACTTCTTCCTTTGAAGTATTAAGTGGGGGGTTTTTTGGTTCTTTTTCCTTTTCCCTGTCACTTGAAAAAGCTGGACAAATAAGCTGGAAGCTATAATTAATATGCAGCTTATTTCCTCTCTCTTCCTGTTCTAACTCACTCCACAGAGACCCAAAGTACCAGCCTTCTTACTGACCTCTACGTTCCATTGAAATGACCAGCAGAGAACTAAAACATCTTATTCCCCATGCTTATTACTTTACAAGACTAAAAGGATAAAAGCCAAGCAAAACTATAGTTCCTGTTCAAGCAGATGGTTAACTTCTACAGTCTGGAACTGAATGATGAAGTTGCAGTGTATGTAAGATACTTCAGGATACAGCCAACTATACTTTTACTTATGTTCGAGGGGTTTTTTTCACTCAATACAGCAAGTAGTGCCACAGTCCAAAGATGCCTTAACACCAGGCCTAAAGATGGGGAAAGGCAGCACTATGAGCTTGTGCTTGGTTAGAGAGTGTCACGCTTCATTCCTCGACAAGCGATCCTACCATGCCACTGATCCCATTTTCCTCAAGTATTAAGCAGAAGTTTGAGTGATGAAAAAAATCCATGCATGGATTTCTCCTGAAATATCTGCTTATATTACCCACTGCTGAACTAGTCAGGAGATGAGAAGAATACTGCAGAAAGATATTTTTTTCCTTAGTACTGCACATGCCATAAAAAAATGTTGAAAAAGAAGATAATAAATGCAAATTTCCTTTTGCTCATTCTCAGGGATTGTAACATATATTACCACTGCACTGAGGCAGTGATTTAAAAATTAACTGTTCAGTGTTGTTCTCATCTATATACATTTTGCCAGTGCTCCTAACTGACATAGTTAATAATGCCAGTTGTGGAGAACCACGAATCACTTTTATTCACTAAGTAAGTCCCTAGGTTGGTCATTTTAGTGGCAAAAATTATATTCTAGCTAAGCCAAGAATAAGCTCTTTGTATATGAGCAGTCTCCTTCAACTGAGTTGCACAATGAGCTGTTTGGGCAGCAGCCAAAACCAGGCTCTCTCTGTTCAACCCCCAAATTTAAAACAAGGAGATTCCATTGTGCTTAAGGGCCCTGCAGGAATTATGATGCGAAGTCTAAACACTTACATACTTGTTCTGTTTCCTCCTTCTCCAAACACTTTAACTCCTTATGGGATAGCACATGGGAAACAACGAAGTTTAAAAAAAAGCCTGACCACCAACCTTCACCTCTGGTTCAGCTACACTTCCAGTGTGCAGTTAACTTATTTTCCAGAAAGTGGAAGTTTTTTTAAAAAAAACAAAAACAAAAACAAACAAACAAACAACCCCCCCCCAAAACCACACACACAAAAGTACTGACAACATACCATCACTGTAACATTTCAACATCACAGCACATTAAATAGCTCTTGTCTAGATCCTCACAGAGGCAATCAGTATTTTAATTTGAATGTAGAGCTTTTCAATCATTTCTGTGTTGAAGGTATCTGATTCTCTCAACTTAATTTCTTTTACATGTCACATAATGATAAATATAATTTTGCTTGATATTAACTCTGTTTTATGCAGAATGTTCACATCCTGGGGATAAAAGACACTGTATAAACGTTAGGCATTATTATTTGTAGTAATTTACTGGGAGCATTAATAAAGAATGTATTTCCTGAAAAGCATGGAGATTAAATTAATTTGAACATCCTTAGCATATTTTGAGTGCACTAAAGCTCTTATCCAATACTTATTGAAGTCAATGGAAGGATTATTATTCTCTTCAATGGCCACTGGACCAGATTCCAAAGCAAAAAACAGATAGTGAATGTGAGCGGTAATTTGGCTTATGCTTAAATAAAACTAGAGCACACACAACTAAGACCAGAGTTCTGCATCACAACCTGAATGAGCTCAGGTGTGTAGTACAGTGTACTACCTGCATTTAAGACATAAAGCATAACATTATTTTTTAAATTTTATTTCCTCAACAAATTCAGGGCTTTTGTGAGAAGCAGAGTATTCTTCACAAGCCTGGATACCAGCAAGACAAACACAAAATCCAGTCATAATTTATGGTTGCTCTTTGTTACTTCCAGATGGGGGACAATTTCTACCTTCATAGTCTGGATAATTGGCTGATTTCTTAAAGGAAACCTCTGTACATCTTATTTTCTGAACAGCATGTTGAATCACAATTTTGCCGCTATCAAGGAAATGCGGCATTTTCTGAGTATTCCAAGGCATAAATTATATGTCTGGTTTGTGACTCATGGCTAGTAGCCTTCCCTCTCATTCTAGACTCTTGTTAATTTAGGAAATATACACGTTCCTACATTTGCTTCTACTGCTTTCAAAAAAGATCTGTAATAGAATCCTATTGGAAGACTAATTTGCTAGCTAGCTATTGCATTATAGTTTTACAAAGAAAAGAACTAATGCACTCAAACTCATAGGCCCAATTTACAAGGGTTTTGTGAAAATTTGTATAAAACTTGAGGTTTCATAATTCATTCACTTTCTCATGCCTCATAGTTAAACTAACCTCTATGGATTAGAGGCGGAGATCTTTTTTATGCTAAACTTGAAAAGCATGTAGGGGCTTCACCTGAAAAAGATAAATGATTTAACATTCACCAAAGGTTCCCCAATGCAAATGCTGCCCACTGCGTTCTCTTTCTCAAGTTGAACTCTTCTGAGGCAATTCCTTTGAAAAGTAACAAAAATACCCCTACTGTTTTCTCTAGAATACTCATCTCTGAAACTCTTTACTAATTCAAAACATTAAAAGGTATCAACAATTCAGTAGTAAAATTGCAGCTTTTCTCAGGAAAACTCCAACACTGCTTTCTCACATGTCTGTTGTCATAACACTGCAGGCTCCTCTCTGATCACTTCTGCAAAATCAAGCATTAGCAGGCTGCACCAGAGTTTGAAGGCAAGACCTGCAACCCACTTGCATTAAAGGGCAACGCAGCCTTCACTGCCTGACCTTCCCCAAAAAAAAGCTGGATGTCATCACGTTGTCAAAGGTGTTGTTTCCCCACATGAGAGAATGAAGCTTCAAAAGAACACTTTTATCTTTTAGTAAGCATGTATAAATGTATTTTATACACCCACAGAAATAAATATCTCTTGTCATGTATGTGTATACATACATATACTACAAAGAATCAATGCAGAAACATGCACTTGTCCAAAACTATAATGATCATCTATGTTTTATCTGACAGAGGGATAGAAAGAAAGATACTCTAACAGCTAGAGCAAAGAGATGATAGATGGAGGCAGATACTCCACACATCTCATGATACACAATGGCAGTAAGCTCCATGAGAAAATCTGGGCTCCTTTCTTTGACCAAATTTTAATATCCCCAACTTTAGAGCGATCTTAAAACAGCTGCCAGTTGTTCAGTCTTTAAAACATCAAAACAGCAGTGGTGGTATTTCCTACCCCTACAGTCCCTTCTCTGGGTTACTGTTGAAGCAAATGAGGAAGGAATGATAAACAAGTAAGGACACCAGGTCTGGGAATAAAAGAAAGGAAAAGAGACGTTTTCTATTTCCTGAGACCTGATATACCCAACCTTCCCTTTGTCACTGTAGTCTCCATCTTACCTTGCACCCCCAGATCTTTCAGAAATGTACCAGCCATCCCTTGCGCTGATGCTCATTAGTAGAGCTAGCCCAGCTGAGGATGTGGACCCTGTGCCCATCACAGGCCAAAACAGTTGACTTTGCTGGGCAGTGTTTTATCTCATTCTGCTCCCACTGAGAGCAACCAGAAGAGACAAGATGGGTGCAGCTTGTTGTGTGCATCATGCCTTGAGTCTCATCCACACAGAAACATCTGTTCATCTCAAAATGGAAAAGGAATTCAAACTGAATGTGCAGCACATTTGTTCTCACCTCATGGCCTCTGCATTTATATTAGAATAAAAATAAACAAAACCCTAAATTTAGTTTTGCACTTGCTTAAGAATACAAGTTACTACATATCCACTAAGAGTTAGATCAAGCTTTCATTAGTTCCTAGGAAACTGTACTGTGGCTGGTTCTTAGCAATGCAGAACTTACAAAGGAAATACCAGTCTATCACTTTGTCCTTTTTTTTTTCTCCATAGTGTAAAATGTAGGCAAGACCTAGCTTTCCTATACAGTCTTGGTTCTCTTTGTTGTGCAAATTTAAGACAGATGTAACTATTTTTGCATGCAATTCCCTCTTAATTTTTACTTTCGCAATTTATAATTACAATGCTTTTTAGGATAGCAATCATTATGTTTTGCTGAATCCCACAGATCTGACAAACTTCTCTGCCAAGGAGGTGAAAAGCAATTAAAAAAAAAAAAATTGCTCAGGAAGATCACCAGGAAAATTTTTTGCTTTTTAGTTGTTTAGTTTTTGACAAAACATATGCTCTGTGTATGCTTGGTGCAAATACACGCACACTAAGCACATGTAAAATCAGGTATTATCATTCTTATGGTACAATAGATATTGGGGGTGCTTTTAGATCCTGACACAAAATTTTGCAGTGATTTGCATATCGGTCTACCTACTGAAATCCAAATGACCACTTACATGAACAAAAACATTTGCACAACCTGCAGGAAGTCTCAACAAAATCAGTTCATAGTAAGGTATTATTCCCATAAATAAAGGTGCTGAAGTGTGGTCCAGTGCAGAAATAGTGCACTGATTAGATTTTTATAAAAACAAACCAAAAAGACCCCACAAACAAACTGTCCTAGTGCATAGTCCTTATTTGGCTGAGTAAGTCTCTGTCACGGATGACTGGAATGCACCTCACTCAAAAGAGAAAAGGAGTAATATGTTTTATTGAAGTAAAATAATAATTTGACAGAGTTCAATAAGTTTGATGGAATTTAACACAGTTTAACAGTGGTTTGACAAGGTTCAGTAAGTTTGATGGCAAGGTTCACCTTATTAATTACTGCATGGAAGAAACATACAAAAGAAAATTGAGTTTGAATCAAGTTAGAATGATTTGAACAGAGACCAAAGATGCAAAGAGTAAAGAGGACCCTCCCACTGAGTCATGAGGTTCAGAGTGAACCCCCTTCCTTTCTAAACTCCTTTTGGAGCCTAGGTGCAGCTGGATCCAATCTCAGTCTCAGACTTGGTCAATGGTTTATGTCTAATGGAATTATCCATACAGTATTTACAACAATATTGAGTAGCTACATGGATTAGTAATGTTTCCTAGTATTAATTCAGCATGCTATCAGTCACATACAGAGGATCTGTTGCAGGTAAGGGATCTCTCTGCCTTGGGGAAGGAAGGATCTTTTAGTCTCAGGTAAGGAATCTCTACCCTTGAGAGGCATCCCTGCTCAAGGGGAGGGTTACCTGGCGTGCAGTCCAGCTGCAATTCAGGGAGAGCTCAAATTGGGCCCATCCTGATGGTAATATTTATAGAGAGAAGTAGTTGGCTGCTAGTCAATGGTACAGACAAGATAGATGTCTTCATTTTTGGTCTGATATCTTGTTTCGTACTTCAGTTATCTTGCACTTCTGGGTTTCGAAACCACCTTTTGAAAGATTTTTCAAGACACCTTCACTCCCTTGTACGTGAGCCAGGGGCTTTCCAGCTCACAAGTTCACTCCAAGGACATGAGGCCTGTTGCTCCTTAGTCAGCCTGAACCAAAGTACAGATAGGAGTCAAGTGTATCCCTCACACTCTCCCAGTCTAAAATTATTAGACACCATTTGATAATAATGCCAGTTTTTCCTCCTCCTTTTCAGGCCATTTTCAAAGAGCCCTCATCCTCCCTACAGCTGCTAACAATGTAAAATGGAAAGATGAAGTGGTGGCCTTTCAATGGATGTCACTGATTGGGAGGAGAAAGAGGTACGGAAATTTACATTCTGATGAATTCTTCAGGGAATGCCTTACTGAAAATCAAAGCGGCAAAAATCATAAAGGGGGGCATCCCTTGGTGATGAAAATCTCAGACAGCAAAGCTCCTTAGAGAGAATAAGACTTGTTGTAAGTCCTTTTCATACCCTTTTTATGCTCCCCAAAGATTCAGACAGTCTCCCAAAAGACTTCCTTGGATGGTTATGATTGCAGAGGAAAGCTTATGGACTCATTAGCTGGACATTAGGAAGGACATTGGTTTTAATAACTCAGGTATATTTTCTTCTTAAAAATAAAAGGACTAAGTGCTAGCTTTGTAGGTATTAACCCACTTGTCGAGAGATCAGCTGCACATACTTCTATTGCAGGACTTTGCTGTGTGTTTAGAGGAAGAAATATGGAACTGGACTGTAAACAAAATTCCTGATTCTGTCAAGGCTAGCATGCGATGTTGGGCAGAGCATTCAGTTTGCTCTGCTGCCATATGCTGATTTGGATAATCAGTGTATTCAAGAGTATAAGTACCAAGGCAGAGGCGATACTTTTGTTTCTTACAGGTGATGAGAAGTTTTATTTGTATTTGTAAAATGTGTGCAGGTAAAAGACATTCTGAAAATGTAAAGCATAACAATGCAATTTACCTTGTAGGGTTCCCCAAAGAGGTTAAAACCTGAAGCAAAGAGATCTTCATCTTGCTGGACTTCCTGGTTTCTTCTCTCCCATTCTTTCCGCTTAAGTGCACTCCGGTCTTGCTCATAGTGACTGAAGAAGAGAAAGACAAAAAAAGACAACACGTTGTTTTCCCCATAATTTAGTTACATGTTCGCTACCATCAGTAAAAGCAGCAAAACATCATAAACAATGCAACTCCTGAGGACAATTCTGAAAGAAAAAAGCAGCCACTGAATAATTTTCCCAAATGTAAATTTGGGAATCATAATACTATGTGAAATTGGGCAGTCGGACAGTCAGTACACTTCTAAAATGAAAACAGACAAAAGTGTTCTTTTCAAATTAACAGAGCATTATGCAGAAGAATAAAATACATTTTGACGCATTCATACGAACAGTCCATAAAATGCATGCACACACACACACACACACACGTGCTCACGAAGAATGTGTCTGTGCAGAGAAAGCAAATGTGAAGTCAAGGAAGCACAGCAACATCTTCAAATCCATTTAACTGTGTAGCACTTGTCTCCATACAGCCCAATGCTCCAGTTCAGCCTTGTGTGATTTAGACTTGATTCCCAGTATCAGATAATTCTACAAACAAACAAAAAAGTATCTAGTGCCTCAGTGTAGCAATGGCGAGTGGCACTTATCTGTATGTCAGCTTACTTTGTGCACCTGCCAGACCTAGGCGACAAGCTGAGTGACCACACTCACTTCTCCACTGACTAGCACAGAAGCACTTTGGTCTCTTGGCTTTGCAAACTAGCTCCTGCTCCTCTGAGGGAGAAGATATAATTAAAACCCTGAAGGAGGGGGAAAAATAGGAAAGGAAAGAGGAAAGGAAAAGATGCATGCTTCAACTTGCGCTGACAACCTCTCATGTGACAAGCGTTAAGGGACACTTCTGTGCTTTCAACCCATATTTGATTTGTTATGAGGCTTTTGGCTCTGTTTTGTGTCAGTTAATTAGCTACAAAATTCCAGACGACAATTTGAATAGCAGATTCAGTATACACACTGATGTTATTTATCTGTTGTAAGCAGTACTTCCCTGACAGATTCTGGACATGCCTGCACACATCCATGCACACCCTCTCTGTACGAATGCATACATACAAACATACATATTACATATGTAACAAAGAACAGTTAATTCTTCTATCTCTGGTGAGAATGAATTAAATCTCCATAGAGCTCCACTGCACTTGGAAGATAACCAAATATCTACAACTTTTGCCTTTTTAGCTCAGCATGATGTTGTATTGAAAGCTTCACACCGAGAGATATAATGAGGAATGAACTGCACAGTGATGAGGCTTTAACAGTGTATAAAGTCACTGATTTCTGAGTGAAACCACAATTACTAATTTGAAGCACCAGCTAATTAAAACCACAGCTATGTATTTAGCCTCTTGTTATACCTACTGCAGTTTATAATTATGAGGACCTCTTTATCTACTCAATTAAAGTTCTTATGATTCAGGCAGGTTGTGTTTGAATCTGCAAGCCCTGCAGAGAGCACAGGAAAGCATATGTCTGTTGTCTGATGACTCCACGTATCTTTACACTCATATACGTGTTTTTGTACAGGGAAGGAAAGAAAAAAAAGAAAGACTAATACCACAGTGAGATGCCTAAATAAAAAAATATTAATTAATAATTGGTTTAAGCAATTCAAGATCACTCAGGCTTGGATTGAATAAGGCTTGAGTATGGCTTGTAAACTGAATGCAAAGCCACCTACATAGGCTGAGCTGAATGATTTCCATCCATATTTTCCTTTTACAAGTTAGAAGGCTGAAAAGATGCCACATTTTATTTATTTATTTATAACACCACCTAATGTAGTGACCTCACTGGCACCAACACCAAGCTTGAGAACATTGTTACAATTGTTCCCCGTAGTTTTGCAGAAGCTATGGTACTGTTTGCTGGTTTCCTGAGGGAGATGGAAGGGAAACTGTAAGCAACAGTCACTTTACTATACTACACATGATCATATTGCTGACACAATACTGCAAACCACAAGGGACCCGTTCACTAAAAGATGAAGGGGGGTATCAGCCTCCCTTCTTTTCATGTCCTAAACCAAGATTAAAATCCACAGGTATGCAAATAAGTAAGTGCAAACTGTTTCCCAAATTGGTACGCAAAGATGAGGACAAGTTTGATTCCATCACTCCCCACAGCTCTTCTGGTGTAGGGGGCTGCTTTAGCCCAGAAATAATCCAGCCCAGGAGCTGTAGGAACACACTGTATTCACCTCTCTCATGGGAGACCTTTCGAGGGATTTCTTTGGCAGTTTGACCCATAGATTGTGTGACTCTTGCAGCAAGATCAGATCATTATGAAGTTATAAACCCAGTCTCAACACCAGCAGAATGGATCTAGTGTAAACAGGATTTTATATCCTGCGTATGTAATCTTTGCTTATGGGAGCAGTCCTATCCCAGGCACTGCCAGCATTCACTTCAGAAAGGATTATTCATGAAAGTTAGAGCTGCGTTTTACAGCTTCCCAATGGCAACCTTGGCCTGGAGTTTCAGGGTGAAATCCAGGTCCCATTCAAATCAAACTGAATCTGGCCACTGAACACTCAGATTACAGAATCACAGATTACAGCACAGAACAGATCTCACCCTTCATGTGAGGTGCCAGCACTTTGTTATCTAAAAGCTGGCTCTAGTCACAAGCATACGAAGTTTTCAGGGAACCAAGTGAGGCATTACGCCATATCCTATGTGAAAAAAAGCAGCAAAGGCTCTAAGACTATTTAGATATGTTTTGTGACACATTACAAAACCACAAATTCAAAAATGATGAAAACAGCAGTAATTTAAAGCAATTATGCTATTTTGAAAGACATTAACTTAAGCTAAGACAGTATTTACAATGTTAACAGCAAAAGCTTGAAAAAACGGTATTTTCCAACACAACATAGTGAAGCATTTCTCTTTTAGTGCATGTGTTTATGAAAGATACCTATTCCACACACCCAAGAGGTGACCACAAAGGCGCATCTCATGCCCTGGATCCCAACAATGTTTATAGGCCACCAAACTGTGAGCATCCATTTTATAACAGAAGCAAAGCCCTAAGTGAATTGCTACCTCTGCATCAGTCCAAATCTCTCTTATATATTCTCTTATGAGAACAACAAAAAAAATAAATTAAAGGTTCATTTTGAACTTTCCACTCATGCAGTCACATTGCAGCCTTAAGTGTACAAAGTATCCATTCAAAAGGAAGTGGTTGCTCATCCTGTCAGGTCAATTACTTGGCTTATTTCTCTGCAAACGTACTTTTGCTATGGGAATGCTTGACAGGGCGCCGATTGTGGCTACAGAAAGTCAAATATTATAAGATCATACACAGATTAGGATAACAACTTCTCTGGGTTCCTTGTAATCCAAAGAGGGATGCTGATTAGATCTTAAGGCTGCAGCGCAGTGAGAACCTAATGGGATGCTCTTCAGAAACTCTTAATGCAGCCACCATGCGATCTCTTGGACTTATGTTTAATATTTAGCTTAACTAATGTTCTGTGAAATACAGATATGTGATTAGTGGTGAAGGTGTCAGTGAAAACTATAGTCAGATACCATGAGGAACACCAGAGTTCAGTCTTTCTGATTAGTATGAGAAATACTTCATGACTCCTCTAAAGCCAGGAGAGTAGGAAATCACAAATACAGACTTCTGCAAATATTTAAAAAAAGAGATTTAGAAGAAAACAGCTGCAGGCCATGATACTCACTGTATCCGAGAGGGCCAGTTCCCTAGACAGAGCTATTACATGACAATGTAGTTTAAATACATGAGCTTTATTGTTTTGTTACCACTTATTAGATTAATAATCAAATTTGAATGCGGAAGTCTCTACATAAATCTGAGAAGATCAGGACTGGTGAGCAGTAAGAACACTACAAGAGCGTATGAGACCACTGATCTACAAATTACCAGTGTGCTGGATATGGCAGAAAGAATACTAACCATAACTGTATTATTGTTTTGGTATGTTTAACATCGAGGCACGCTGCAAATGCATTTTGAATAACAGCATTTGATACTTAATCCTTTAAAATTAGACCAGCATACATCCACTCATCATTCTTCTCAGCTACGGACACCCTAAGGGACAGTGGTGAGCTGATGCACTGTGACAGGCCAGGTGCTCAGCCTGCATGAATCTGCAGTGTCAGTAAGGCCCATGGAACTGCACCCTTCACACCCACTGCAGCCCACAAGGGCTGCGGGGACAACCCAGATCAAGCAGAGAATGGAGAAGGGGAGAAGGTGGCTGAGGCAGGAGAAGGTTATATGAAGGCAAAAGATAACAGGCATGCATGTAGGTTTCGGATTAGAAGCTAAAAATGCAGATCTGACAGTCAGAGATGGAAGTCAGACATGCACTGTCTACAAAGAGGAGAACTAGAAGAATAAAATTTAGGGCAGTGGAAAGGACAGTGCAATCATCTGCGGTGAAAGTGAGAGGATGTGGTATAAAAGATCTGAAGGGAAAAGAAAAAACCTTTTAGGACAGACTGCAACAGAGCAAGAGGTTAGAGGGAAGAGTTACAGGAAAGCTGATGAAATAAGACCAACAGCTAAAGGCTGAGACCTAGCATTTGGGGTTTATTTTCAAAGATGTGCTAACTAAAGCCACAGAAATAGTCTCCCAAAGCATGAAGGACTAGGCAAGGCAGACAAGAGCCTGAAAGACAGGAGAAAGAGTAGAAGAAAGAAGGCAGACCAGACAAGTTTGAAGGAGTAGTCACTGTGAAATGGAGAAAAAGTAGAAGAGAAAAAAAATGATCAAACACCTAATGTTGCAGAAGAATCATGAATGAGAACAGAACACTGCTCTGTTGATTCAATCAGAACAACAAAAGCCCAATAGGAAAACAATCAATAAAAAAGCTGGAGCAGAGAGGCTTTGTGACAGACAGACTACATCCATGAGGATAAATGAACAACATTCACGAAAAACAGCCTTTATCCACAAGTTAGGGAAGAAGTAGTTGCTGTTCTCAAGAACGTGTCTGAATTCACAAAAATGCACACTATGATCAAATTGCATGTCCCTCTGTACTAGTAGTTCCACCCTCCTTAAAATATCAGATATGCCTAAAGGATGAAAGAAGTCCTCAAACTGAAATGTTTGTCATTTGTGGAAACAAGAAATAAACATAAGCTTCTAAACTAAGATACCGTGGATATAAAATGATAAAAACTTGAGAACTGAAAGTCCTTTCTCAAGGTTATTTCTTCATAGATCTGACTTTAGGACAGAATTGCTGCTCTGCCACGAGCACTCAGTAAGTTGGGGAAGCAAACTCAGAAACCAGGCTTCCACGAAAACTAACTTATATACCTGCAAAAGGTATTAAAAACCCCAAATCAAAACCCACTCATGAACATATTTGACTTACATGAGAAAACCAGCTCAGATCAATGAGAATACTCCCATGTTTAAAAATACATGCTTGCTTTTCCACACCAGGGCAATTCTTTTTCAATGTGAGTAAACATGTAAGGCAAAAAGCATTTCATCTGACAATCAAACTAGGTAAAAGACTACTTCTAGCAAATACATTACAATGGGAATTCACTTCTGTTTAACTCCAGATTTATCTCACCATAACTCCATTGATTTCCTGTAAAAGCAGGCTACCACAATAGTGTACAAGGGAAGGAGAACAGGCTTCCTTGGTATATTCAGATTCTCCCAGTATACACTCTGGTATTTCAATACATTTATTCCAAATGGGGGGGGCAGCCTCAGGTCTTAAATTTCATTGCAGGTCTTAAAATATATTCAGTAAATGAGAGGAATTTCAAAACCTGATCTTTAAGCAGAAATACGGCCAACTTCCCTGCTCATCTAAAGTCTGTGTTCCACTTAATGATAAACATCACAAGCAGTACTACACTCAAAATAGCAAAACTGCTCTTCCTCTGTTTATGACCATTGAGCTTGCATCTTTGTCCTCATAATTTTACTACTTGACAGAGACCAATCAAGCCATGATAGAATAGCTTTACAACTTCTCACTGTCTTTCATATTTAACATTAATGTTGTGTTGTTCTTCATAGCATGAATAGTTACTGAAAGTATCTAGCACAGAACACATCTAGCACTGCACTTCAAGATAAATGATTTATTTTAAAACATAGAATATTCTGTCTTTGATGTTCAACAGTTCTGTAGAGAAACACTTGAGATGGTCACTGGTTATCTATCCACACGAGCTAAATCTCTTAACAATTTGCATTAAAAACAATGCCATTCCTGTAGCACATTTGATAGAGAATACAGAAGATTAAAGCCTCTGAACAAAATAACACCCAAGAGACCCCTGGGCAATTTATGGAAATTTAAGCTAGGAGGCTAAGGGTTTGGCTTATATTTGTCATACTCTTCATTCTTTTTAGTTATTTCCCACCCACCCACCCCCCAAGTACCTACAAAATGTTATTTTCACTCAATTTTCTCCTCTTTTTGGTATTATGCAGCCCTAAACCTTTCCTTAACATGAATTTGGAAGGAACGATTCTGGGGGAATGGATGACAGAGATAAGCTCCTGAATAGTAAGCGTATAAAGAATAGATGAGGTTTCAAAGGGGAGCATTTATTGTTTCCTGTATCATAGCACATTGTCTTTCAATATGATTAGTTATCACTCTGAGTTATCAAAAACTGGGATGAAATAAAGCGCTTACGCAGTTATGCTTCATTGATGTCAGCTAGGGGAGCATGAAAATCTCCATGAAGTTGGGTAATTGATGTGTAAATCAGAGCTCAATCACTCTGTAATAGAAATGGTCCCACTGAAAGTATGGTTGTTGAACAGTATTGCAGAGGGGTGGGAAAGAAATAGAGAAACAGAGTCAAGATAAGACTTATTTATTAAAAACTATTATAACTGGCAATTTATGGAATTTTCTCTTCAAGAGAGAAGTGCTGTCAGATATATTTAAATGCAAACTGCAGACCACTATATTTGGATATCCTTATTCGGCAATAATTAACTGTTTCTGTTTTATTAAAATGCTTGGGGACACTGTTATGGATATTTAAAAAGCAAATTAAATGAACATGTTCATCCTTTGAAAGGCAACACGTGTAAATGACATCAGCGATTGTAATTTGGTTAACAATGTGTGTTCAAGGTATGTTTTAGAGTCCTATTACAGTCTTCTTGTCAGTTCAAATTTGTAGTATGAGAAACAAAAGCAAAACTGAAGGAAAAGAGGGAAAAAAAAGAAAACTAAAGGGAAAAATGGTTATAACCACAGCTCCAAAAGGACATTAAAAGACAAATAGTCATTAGAACATCAGTCACATAAAATAGCTTTCCAACATGCCATATTTCTAAGAGTAAACATCTGATAAATAAATAAAAGACCTAGTTAAGATAACATTATATGTTATTTTTGTTGTAAATTTTTTTCTTTTAATAAATGAATGAACATTAAGGCATTGATATCAAATTCCCAGAAACACCTGGAACCCAGTATTCTAGTTATGACTTACACTAAACCACTGATAAACTGTAACAAACTTACATAAATGTGAAATTTATGAGCATTTTTGGCATCAAATGAATTACATTCAGGACAAAGGAGGTAGATTAGGAAGCTTTATTAGATGGGTAATGTGCTGTGACTGTAAGGGGGCTCTGATTACTACAAGAGGGTTGAATAGGGAAGGAGGTTCAACCTAAAGTCC